TAGTATTCATCATACTATCAAAAGTATCCTGTCTATAAGCACAGTAAAGAGCCTCTGAGCACTAATAGAGAAGCTGAGAAAGAGACAGAAGAAAGGGGAGATTGAACATGTGGCCCAATCTGGGTTCTGGTGGTAATAGCTCTAGTAGTACCTAATATATGTGCGTGTGCATGTGTGTGTGTGTGTGTGTGTGTGTGTGTGTGTGTGTGTAATAGGTACCTTCTCAGCCACATTTTTATGTAATTGTACTGATATATTTAAGATAAATATTGGGCTGAAGAGGTGAGTAAAGGCATTTGCTACCAAGCATAATCTGAGTTACGTCCGCAGAGCCCACATGGTGGAAGGTAGGAACGAACTTCCACAAGTTGTCCCATGACTTCCACACATGTGCCCCTTGACACTTAGACACACACCACTAAATAAATGTAAAAATAGATGTTTAACTATGAGATATCACTTCAGATTCATAAGAATGACTATTTAAAATGGCAAATAGTAATGAATATTTTGAGGGTGTAAAGAAATTGGAATTGTCACATTTTACAAGTGGGAATGTAAAATGGCGCTGTCATTCTGGAAAATAGTTCTTCAGATGGTTAAACATGAAGTTACCACATGACCTAATATTCTTTACCTAGGTTTATAGCCAAGATAGGTGAAAACATGTGCACACAAGGACCTATACATTATTATTCATAATAGTATTATTATAAAACTAAAAATGTTCATCAACAGGTAGGCAGATAAGTAAAATGTGATATATCATACAATTGGATATTATTTAACAGTAAAAATGATGAAATACTAATACACTGATACATTCTACTTCTTGGCTGATCCTTAAACATATTATCCTAGGTTAGAGAAGCCAGTTATAAAGAATTATATGATTCTGTTTATATGGAATGTCCAGAACAGGCAAATGTATAAAAGAAAAATTAGGTTAGTGGTTGCCTAGTACAAAGAATAGGGTAGAGAAATGGAATGAATGCTAATGGTTACTTGTCTTCTTAGGAAGTTAATAAAAATGTTTTGAAACAGATTGTGGTTATGTCTTTATAGTTCTGTAAACATGTTAAAAGTAATTTGTCTGATTTAAATAATGGATCATGTGAATTGTTTAACTACCATAACCTATATTGCCTTGGTACTGACCTGTGCTGCTTGCACCCTGGAATTCTGACTAGGGACATTCACACATGTACAAAGCCAGGATCAAGCTGGGAGGTCTGCTACTTCAAATGGAGGGTGCCTACTATAACCATCATTCAGAACCTCAGTATGTTTATTAGGTGCAGGGAGAGGGGTTAGCTAACCTTGGTAGGAGGTTTCTGTAGGTGAGCAGTTGCAGGCTGTAGACATCTAGAAGGAGGAAGCAGCAGATGCTAATCTTTGAACACACTAGTCAGTTATTTATAAACGGTCAAACACTCTTTGGTACCCTTCCTCAAGCCAGCCATATGGAGAAATGACTTCGCCAATTTCCCATGAATCAGAGTTCTTGGAGTCCTTGACATGGCTATGCCCCCCTCAACAACATACATTCACTCAGAACTCCCTCAGAGTTTCCTCCACTTTTAACAAACAAGATAGGGATGCTGTGTATAGTCAGTACAATACAGGAATTGTTTTTCACTTACTATTGTTTGGAATTTTATGCTATTATTATTTTTGAGAATCCTCATGCATGAGTATTGTAATTACATCCTTTCCACCCTATACTCTCTCTACTCCACCTCTCTCATAACCTCCTCAATCCCTCTCAACTTCATGACCACCTCGTCTTTAACCAGTTTTATGTGTTTAGGGGTGACTGCTTGGGATTGGATATCAATCTCTATCAACAGATAAAAATATCCATTGAGGGGCTTGTTCCTGAGAAGGCTGATTCTCCCTCTTTTAGTAGTCATTAATTGTCTATAGCTCTTCATTCAGAAGCTATATGAGCATAAAACCTTCATTTGGCATTATGAGATGTTTCCCATCAATACTGAAATGTCAGCTGGTGTTGTCACTGTGTAGGTCTTGTGTAGCTGACTATATTGTGAAAAATTCATGGATGTGACTGTCATATATAGAGGGCACTATCTTGTAGCACACATTCTGATCCTCTGCCTCTTGCAATCTTTTGCCACCCTCTTGGACCATGTCATCTGAGCCTTGGTGGAGTTGTGTGTGTGTGTGTGTGTGTGTGTATATATATATATATATACATATATATATCCATCCACTGGAATAGGCACATCATCATATTCAGTTGTTCTCTGCACTTTCACAAGTTGGGTATTTCTGAAATTTTTATTTTGCTGCTAAATGAAGCTTCTTTGAGGGGTAAGAGCTATACTTATCCATGGATAAGGATATGTGTAATTGGAGTTTCTGTCACACCAACAACTCCCAAATACACACAGCTGCTTCCCAAATATTGACTCAGAGACTTAATATAAATTATAAATGCTTGACTGATAGCTCAGGCTTGTTACTAACTAACTCTTACACTTAAATTAACCCATCATTCTTATCTGTGCTTAGCCACATGACTTGGTACCTTTTCTCAGTACAGCATTCTAATCTTGCTTCTCTGCATTTTCCTGGGACTCACTGACTCTTCCCTTCCTCTTCCCCAAATCCTTAGTTTGGTAGCCCTGCCTATACTTCCTGCCTTGCTACTGGCCAGTTAGTGTCTTATTAAACTAATCCAAGTGACAAATCTTTAGAACGTACAAGAGGATTATTCCATAGCAGCTATGTATTCAGAATGCAGTTGGGAACCATATCGGTTTAGGAAAGTGGCAGAAGTAGGTTTTCCTCTAGGGTCCATGACCTTGCCAACTACAGGTAGTTGACTAGGTTTATAGTGACAGGCTTGAATTCTCTCTAAGCATTGAGCAGGGATTAAGTCCAATTAGATATCTAATGATTACCCCTGAACTTTAAGTGCTGCTTGTGCACCCTAAAATATATCTTGCCATGCTTGTAATGGTTGTGGCTCAAGGACTTTACAGCTAGTTAGAACTTTTGATTTCTTTCTCCCTTGGCATTTTTGGATGCTATGAGAGCTAGGCCTTCATGGGAGCCTATGGGAGAAGGCTTCCAAGTCAGTTTCAGTTTGTTTCCTCCAAGCCCTGTGTCTGAAGTGTGTGGTGTCTTCAAAAATCGGGTCTTACCTTCAAATTCGTACGTACAAAGTAGGATAGAACCCTTGCCAACAATACATCTAATAAGTGATTGCTGATCAGAATATACAAAGAATTCAAAGAGCAGTCAAGAAAACAAATTACCCAATTAAAAATGGGCCATGAATCTGAACACAGAGTTCTCAAAATAAGACAGAAAATTTGTTAAGAAGCATGTTTAAAAATTTTTCAGTATCCTTAGCAATTAAGGAGATGCAAATTAAAAGTACTTCAAGATTTCATACCCTGCTCCACATGACTGAACTAACTAACGTTGTTAGTAAGCAACTAACAACGGTTCTGGTGAGGATGTGAGGAAAAGGAAACCTCATTTACTGTTGTTGAGGTAACAAACCTGTGTAGCCACTGTGAAAATCAGTGTGTCAAAGCCTTAGAAAGCTAAAGGTAGATCTACCTTGTGACCTAGCTGTAACTCGCGGCACGTGCCCAAAGGACTCAACACCCTACTTCAGAGATACTGTCTTAGCCAAGCTCACTGCTGCTCTATTTATAGTAAATACCTAGGAAACAGAAATAACTGAAATATTCTACTTATGAATGGGTAATGAGATTGTAGTACATGTACTGAATTCTATTCAGCTTTTTAAAAAATGAAATTGTGAAATTTGCAGATAAATGGATAAAACGTTTTACCTTCTTGTGGCCAGACACTGCATCGCTTGTAATCTCAACCACTTTATTACCCTGCAGTGTGTCAACGTCTGACTTCGAATAAATTTATCCAATTATTTAGTGCAAGAAAATAGACCATATCAGCTCTTACATCAGTGGTTCTCAACCTGTGGGTTTCGACTCTCAGTGACCCTTTCACAGGGGTTGCTTAGGACCACCATAAAACATAGATATTTGCATTGCAATTTGTAACAGTAGCAAAATCACAGGTATGAAGTAGCAACAAAAATAATTTTATGGTTGAGGTCGCCACAGCATGAGGAACTGTATTAAAGGAATAGGGAAGGTTGAGAACTACTGTCTTAGATCTTTTAGATCTTGTGTGTGTGTATGTGTTTCAGTGAGCCACTAGATGTAGAAAACAGAACCATTTCTCTTAATTAGTGGTAAAAGACATTAGAACAATTAAATTCAATGGAGTGTAATAGAACAATGAATGATTCGTGAATTGGTAAATCATCAGAGTCAGAAGAGGTGCTGTCAGTGGTGTGGGCAGGCAGCATTTCTGGACAGTAAATGGAAGTGAGATACAGAAGTGGCTCCACTGGTCACAGCTCAATGAGCATGGTCTTTCCAGCTGGCAGCCGAGAGCTACTGAGACATGGCTGCTGCAGTCTGCTGAGAGTCAGCTGTGTTACAAATACATGCTTGTAAGCTCTCAGTTTAGATACTAAGATTGCAGCCCATCAGCTAGGACTCAATAAAGAGGCACCTTCAGGCCACATTTACTTAACACTGGGTAGGTCCCTTGACAAGCAGAGGGTATTCCATCCTGAATGGCTAATTTGGGTTCAAATCCCAAACACCACTGTTTGTGAACTTTGAACTTGTGTTCAAATTACTCTGATTTTCAGTTTCTAGACACACACACACACACACACACACACACACACACACAATAATAATAATAATAATAATACCCACAATATAAGTTATGATGGTCATTTTACATAGAAAAGTTTCAGCACTAGCAATATGTTGAATACTTACATAATTCTTGTTTGTGTTGACTATTTCAATGAATGATTTCTAATTGAGTGCTTCCCTCCAGAGGAGTCAGAGCATCTGTTATTAACTCCTGACTGTGTGTGCTCACAAGCACTGTTGATGTGTACTGTCTTCCAACAGGTACAACGTAAGAGATATGATGCAATTCTTAAGCGTTTGCATTGTCAGGTGAACAAGATTCAGTTAAAAAAGAGGAATTGGCAATGGAACATCCAACAACTGGAAAAAACTGCAGCTGAGTTAAGAAAACGCCTTGGAGCAAAAGAAGCCCATGAAATACAGAACAGACCAACAGCATAGTAGGAAAGAATACTGTGAAGATCCTTTGATCTCCCGAGAGCCAGCACCCAGTAGAGACAGAGGTCTGTCTCCATGACCAATATTTTCTTTTTTCTTTTTCTTCCTCTTCTTTCTTTTTGTTTCTACTGGGTATCTATTGGTTAAAGTGCCTCTAAGTCTATAGTACACAGCACTAGGCAGACAGCAGCAGTGCTTACAGCAAGCTAGAAGAAGGGTGGGTGTGTACCCTCAAACGGTCATTTCGCTCCTGAGTGCCTGCTGGTAACCATGTTGGATTCACTACCCTACAAAGTAAAAGTTTAAAAGAAACAGCTGAATTTTCAATGACTTAAATTGTTTGGATTATTAAATAGTTGTCTGTTTCAAACTTTTTATTAGATTATTTTACAACTGTCTTTGCAGTATCCCATGAATATTAATATTCATGATAATTTGATTATATGTTTAATGCATCAACTGTTTTATTATGTTTCCTCTTTTCTCCAGGAGGTAGCAATCATTTTTCTTTGTTATTAAATAACATATTTTAGAATGTTACAATCCATAAGATTTGTGTTTACTCTTCAGTCTATAAATTCTTTATTCCTATATTGCGCCTAAAATAAAACTACATCATCATATAAGCTAGGCATACAATAAAGCTCTTCAAAGAGGTATTTTTCCACATTGAAAGGCAGATTTTTTTTGTCAATGGCAGTAAATTGAATATGAAAACACCTCTGAAGTGCTCTCCTTCATGCTCTATGGATCACAACTACAGAGAAGTAAAAATAAAATATTAATTACTAAAGATGCAGTTTTAAAATATTCACTTGTAGGATCAAATAATTTCTAAGAAGCAACACTGAGAAGATATTTTAAATTCATTTCTCACTTCCTATATGCCTAACATTCAGTGAGTTGTGTAGTTGATAGAAAACCTGATATTAGTAATCTCATTATGGCTGGTGTTAATAGTCTTAGTGTGGCTTACTACAGTTAACTCGTCACATGACCTTTCCTGTAACACAATCTGCTTTGCTCCTTGACCCAGAAGTGCTACTCCAAATAGAAAGGGTTAAACTTGCAGGCTGTGGGGGCGCTCACTGTGCTCAGCTCGAGACAGGGTTGAATTAGATGCTTCACGTCAGGTATATGTTAGCACAACATGCATGTTAAGAGTTCTAGTTTTCTCATCTCCTTTTAAGTTTATCATTGTGATCACTAGCAGCTTGAGTTATGGTTTCAGGAAAATGCAGTGTGAAAGATCAGATACAGGCAAAAGGTGCTTAAGGAATTCCCGAGTCGAGATAGTCTTAGGTGGCAGAGTATGCTTTATTGAGGAATGCTGGAGGTTTGTTCCTATTGCCCTGATAAAAAAATCCTGACCAAAGCAACTGAGAGGAGAAAACACTAATTTTAGTCTATACTTCCAGGTCACAGTTCCTCATGGCAAGGAAGTCAGGGCATCAGGAATGTGATGCAGATGATTGCATTACTTCCACCGTCAGAAGAACAATGCATGCATGCAAGCACTCTGTCTACAGGATGCCCTGCCCAGGAAACGGCCTCACCTACAGTGAGTGGGTCTTCCCACCTTAAAGTAATCAAGATAACCCTGTAGACATGCTCAGTGGTCCATCTTCCAGGTGGTTCTAACTCTTGTTAAGCTGACCATTCACCCTAGCCATTACATGGAGCACACTGGAAGCACAGTCAAGAGTGCCTACAAGACCAATGACTCCCCATGAAGGGGCAGAGGGAAGAGCATTTAAGAGAGTGGCTTTCTTCTAAGCCACATGGCCCCTGGTTTTATCTTAAGCTAGCATCAACATCAGGCATATTCCTGCTGCTGAAGGTGCCGTACCGAGGCTTACAGCTGGGCATTGCACCTTTATGGTGGCGGTGGTGGTGTTTATCTATACTATGCTAGGAAACTATGCAGGGAAGGAAGGAGTCAATCCAGGGCTTCTTGGAGACAACCATAATGATTATGATTCAAGACCTGAGCTCAAGTCTAGTCAAACTAGAACCCTCCAGTTATGCGTTTGAAGCTTTATTTTTAAATGAATATATAAAGCAAATAAAGACACTTGAGATGAGGTGTCGTATTGAAGAAAACAACGATCAGCATATTTTTTATAATGATACATGCAGTTAGTTTCAGCTCTATGATAGGTTATATGAAAGACATGTTGTTCTTTTTATTCATTAAAATAATTTCAGATAATGGGGACTTTCATAGCAATCAAGATGGAATAGCAATTGGGTATAGTATCTCAGGCCTGTAGTCCCAGTACTAAGAGAGGCCTGAGGCAGGGGTATCACAGGATTTCCAGGCCATTCTGGGCCACACTGTGCATTTCAGGCCAGCCTCGCTTCAGTGTGGGTCTTGGTTTCAAACTAACAAACGAACTAAAGAGTTGACTCTGTTGGTTGATTTTTTTTTTCAACTTGACACAAGCCAGAACCATCTGGAAAGAGGAAAGCGCAATTGAGAAAATGCCTCATCGGATTGCCCTGTAGGCAAGCCTGTGTATCATTTTCTTGATTAATAATTGGTATAGGAGGGCTGAGCCCACTGTGGACAGTCCCACCCCTGGGTAGGTGGTCCTGAGAGGTATAAGAAAGCAGGCTAAGCAAGCCACGGTCAGCAAGCCAGCATAGCAGTGTTCCTCTATGGCCTCTGCTTCACTTCCTGTCTCCAGGCTTCCTCCTTGAGTTTCTGCCCTAACTTCCCTTCGTGATGTAAGAGAAAGGAAACCTTTTTCTTCCAAGTTGCTTTTTGTTCTGCTGCTTGTTACAGCACAGCAAGTGAGCCAGAACACCAGCCAAACTCAAATATCCCTAAAATCTGAAGTATAGTAAAACTGATATTTCAACACATAATAAAGTCTAAAGTTAGGGAATTGTGTTATTTTCTATTTTTATGTAATACATATAGAGCTAGTATTCTATATTGGGCTATTCACTGCTACTATAACAAAATTCCTGAACCTGGTCTCTTCTAAAGAAAAGAAAGTCATTCAGATAACAGTATTTGTAACTGAAAGTTCAAACAGCACAGCTCCTCTCTGGCCGTGGATTCCTTACAGTGGGTGGCGTCTCTGTGGGGACACATACAGAATGACAGATTCCAGTGTCAAATATCAAGTCCAGGAGCTACTTGGGACTACCCGGGGCCCTTGGATAGATGGGGGAGGGTGTTCCTAGGTCAAGTGCCGTTATCTGACCTCTCTGGCCTCTGCAGAAATATAATCTACTCCAGCTGCTCAAACATCATCTTCTGGTTGTACTATACCTGCAGTTGCTTGCTTTAACCATGGTCAAGGCAAATGTCTTATTTTTGACCATGCCTCCTCTAGTCACTTGACTAGCTGTATGATTTCCCAAAACACTGCATACACATGCCCAATCACAGAGCCTCTTCTCAGCTATTCAATTCTGCCCTTGGATGTGTTTGCCAACTTTTATCTGAGTAACTTAGCAAAGTTTTCCTCTCTCAAAAGCGACAATCTTCTACAGCAATGATTTCTAGACATTATTTCTATTGTGGACTTTAAAAATCCTAGTGTGAGCTCAAGACTGGTACAGGAGCTCTTCCTTCTCAGCAGCATCCATCCTGAGCCTGCTAGGTGTTACTACCTAATGATCAGAACCAGGCAATAAATGCAAGAAACAGTGGGGAGAAAGAACCTGCAATTACTGCCTCACAAATTAACTTGCAATAGATACACCCCATGGGTGAACTAGAGTTAACCAATGTGAAGAGACTAGCATGTTCTTGAAAGCCTTATTTTAATAACAATGAAGGTTCCAGATCGCATGTTTTAGAACCAGTCATGAAAACCATTAAAGATACTTTCTGCCGCACCAGTGCAGCCTGGATGCCAAGTCCAAGGAAAGGAGGTCAGGATTAATGAAATATGCACTCTGGATGTTGCAGAATCAGAAGCCCCTTATTGTACATCACCAAGGGGGGGTTATACCTAATCCAGACAGCTGGGTCAGCAGGATGGAGACCTCATCGCCGGACCCTTGGGACCCTTGGGTTAGGGCTAAGACAATGTGTACTCAGGAAATAGGGTTGGTAAACAACTTTGAAAGTATGGAACTTGTAAGTTTCTCAAAAACCCAGAGCAACAAGGGCAAGAAAGGTCACCAACGGGGGAGGTGAGTAGGAAGGCCAGGACTCCATTAGGTCCCAACACTTTCGTGGCCAATGTAAGTAACTTGTACAAACTATCTTTAGACCAGATCTCATGCAAGCAATTGGCTAGTAGTCCTATTTTCCCAAACACGATATATATGAAACAACAGTAAGCAATAGCAATGTTCTAAGTGAACACGCTATGACTGATTTGACAAATGGCATACATTATTTCTGTTAGTTCTCCAAAAGAGGTTTAAGGTAGATATTATTTTTTTATATAATTAATATATGCCTCAGTGTTTGGGAACTGGCAGTTGGGAGATAAACCTCCAGATACATCATTCCCTTGAATTATAATACAAATATAGAACTTATAGTTTAGAATACTCAAAAATATCCATCCGTTCTATAAATCAAGATTAAATGTTCAGACACACATACATCTTTCTGATATTATCTCTAAACACCTTGGTAATATTCTGAAAGAGTATCATTTTGTTTATATACACTGCTTCTGTGTTAAATTTCTAGATCAACAAACCAGTATCTGTGTGCTCATGCATGCGTGTGTGTGCGCGTGTGCATGCATATGTGTGTGTGCACACGTGCACATGCATGCACAGATTCATATGTGCATGTCTATGAAACGTTCAGAGGAAAGCCTTAGATGTCATTTCTCCGGCACCATTCAGTTTTTTATTTGACACAGGTTTCTCATTGTTCTGGGGTTTCCCAGGTCGGCCAGTTTTGCCATCCAGTTAGCACCAGGGATCTTCCTGTCTCTGCTTCCTCATCTTTAAACCTACAGTCATGTGCTGCTGATGCCTGGTCTTTTACATGGGTCTCTCAATATGGAGCTCCCATGCTCATGCATTTTATAGATGCACATATTTCTGTATTCATATCAACATGTATTAAAGTTACAGATAATTACTGACTCCTGAGAAAGGAAAATTTCTGCTTTTCCAGGGACGATCCTCACAATTGGGTTATCTATCCCAAGTGATCATCCCTAAACCCATATACATATGAGGAAACATTGAATAGACCCAGTTGTTTATATTTTACACACACACACACACACACACACACAATTCTCTCTTGTTCTTTTAGTTCTTATGAGATAGTCACACCAGAAAAACTAATTTTTACTAATGCTGTCATGTGGAATAACTTATTTTAATA